CATTTTACCCAGGTTGGTCTTGAACTCTTGGGCTTAAGCAATCCTCTTGCTTCAGCCTCCCAAAATGCTGGGGTTATAGGCGTGAGCCACTGTGCCTGGCCCTACTTCCATGGTTTTAAATTCCACCTACATACTGATAACTCCTTAGATTCTATGTCTAACCTGACCTTGTTTGTAAACTCCAGGTTGGTCTGTGTTTGGACATCTGGAGGGGATCTCAGACTTAACACAGTCACTGGGTCTCTTGATGACCAGTTCTTTCCCTTTCTCTACATTTTACGGTGGGAGCCATCTCATGCTTAAGCTTTTAGCTCACATGTGTCTCCCCCGAGAAGCCTTCTCTGCCCACCCCACCTTCTCCCTGTGCGTCTCTGTCGTATCATCCTGTTTTCTGCAGAGCAGTTGTCAGTCACTCAGAGTATTTTTTTCTTTTGGTTGTGTGTGTGGAGATATATGTATGTATGTATATATTCTGTTTATATCCCCTAGAATAGTTTCTTGAGGGTAGAGACGTTGCCTTTGTTCACCGTTTTATCTCCTTCTTAGAATGGTGGTCAGAACATAGAGGGTAGTCAGTAACTATTTAACCCTGTTATCTTCCGTGAGATTTGTAGACTCAAATTCTCACGTTTTTAGAAGATTCATGAACCTTAGCCTTGGCATCCAGTGCCTTTTTCTCTCCCATTGCTCAGTGAGCAGGAGGGAGGGTTGCAGTGTTACAGGATTCCTTTGGTGCTGCCTCGGCAGCCAGAAATCTCTGTGGCTGTTGTGTCCTCTGCCTTGCTCCTCTGGGCTTGCTCCACCCGCTCGACCTGGCAGGCTGTGCTTGGCTTGGATCCTGCACACGCTGAGGGTTCTGCACCCAGCTCCTGGCTCCACGGGGTGTGTTGCCAGCAGCTTCTACATTGGGGGCCGGCATCTAGACGAGGGGAATGAGGGTGGTGCTTGAAAACTTGGAGATGTCAGCAATGGTGGAGTCCTAGGGGGTGTTACAGCTCTCACCCCAGGAGTCCCAAGATCTGACCTTCCAAGAAATATTGCAACTTTCTCCTGTTCCTTCCACCTGCAGCTTGGCGAACAGGAGCACGTTACATCTGATTCGGTCCCACCACCTGCAGCTCAGTGGACGAGTGCGTGTTACAGGTTGGCCTATTCTGGGTTCTTGTCCTGTGACCAGGAGGAGTAAGAGGAATAAGGTACATGGCACTGTGGAGAGTGAGTAGGGCGGAGAAGAATTTTGTCAAGCAGCAGAAGGAAAGCTCTCAGCGGAGAGGGGCCCCAAGAGTGGTTAGCCCTCTGGGTGAGAGGGGACCCAAAACAGGTTTGCCATCTGTGGGGCTGAGTTTGGGATTTTTATGGGCTCAGAATGGGGGAGTACATGCTGATGGATTCATGGGCAGGCTTGGAAAAAAGCACCATTCAGTTGACTTTAAGGCATTGAGGAAGTTCTTACTCTGATTGTGGACTTCGCCTGGAGTTGGCAGCTCAGTTTTCAGGGTTTAAACTGTCTTTGGCATGAAGGTTGGGTTTCACTAGAGACCCACCCTGTCTGCCTAGGAATTTGTCTGCCTCTAGTTGCTGTCACTAATCCACACACTGCACTGTCTCTTGGATTCATCAGTCATCTTTGAGCTGTCTCAATCTCAGTATGTTGACTTCATCTTCTTCCCCAAAGACGTTTTTCCTCCCCACACCTTTAAAATATTTTCATAAATATTTCCATTACCCTGTGGTTCCTGAGAGTCTGTCTTCATCCTGACTACACTCTTGAACTACAGTTTGGTTTGGGGCTTCTGTGACAACATACTGTCAGATTTTTATCTTACTTTGTAGGCTAGGCATTCTCCATCTCGTTTTCTGGATCTTCATTCTCTACCAGACTCTATCTTGCAGTGGCCTAGGATTTGGTTCTTGACTCTCCTCTGTGTATCTTCTCAGCTTCCAGCTTTGATCTGCTGCCCTGAGGCTCATCTTTATCAAAGACAGTCATGTCATGCACTGCTTTGCTTAAAGTCTCTCAGAGGCTCCCTGCTGCCTCTGAAGTCCATGTTCTTTATCATGGGCAAAGCCATTAAGAATGAGCCCCTATGTGTTTCAGTTTCTGCTCTCCGCTCTCATTTAAAGGATCTAGAAGACCGTTCTCCCTCCCTTTGGCCTCTCAACACACGAAGGCTGGGCTTTTGCTCATGCTGTTTCCTCGGTGCACAACTTTCCTTTCCCTTACTTCTTAACCTCCCCTGTAAACATTTGCTCATTAAAAAGACCAGTCAGTGGCCCCCTTTTCAGGGAAGTCTTCCATGGTGATGACAAAGTTCTATGGAGGAAGAATCAACAGTTACATTAAGCTGGATATGCCTCTTAAGACTTTAACGTGTGGGTGACCAGGAGGCAGTTGGATATATGGTTCTGAAGGGCAAGGATGGAGATTGATGCTTTTGGAAGTCACGAACTTACTCATGATATTTGAAAAATATAGGTATGGGTAAAATGACCTAGAGCCAGAGCATAGAAGAGGGCATGTGGGTCCTTGGACACTGTAGAGTTCAGAGATCTGGTAGAGGAGGTGAGTGGGGAGAGAAGACAGAATATAGATGATAGTTGGAGGAGTGTTTCAAGAAGGAAATGAGCTGTTTCATGCTACTTTGAGTTCTAGTAAGATGAAGGTGCTTATTCGACTGCTGGATTTGACTGTGGAGTTCACTGTGGCCTTGGTAAAAGCACCTTGAGGGTACTGACATGAGGAGAAGAAGATGGCTCTTAGTTGATTACTCTGTTTAGCTGCTTATGTATCTGTCTCCTCCTCTATGTGCTAGTCCTTAGTTTATGTCTAGGGCTTAGTATATAACTAGATGCTGAATAAATGTCTGCCTGCAGGTTTGAGTTTTACAGTGCAGTTTAAAGAATAATGTACTGGCTGGGTATGGTGGCTCACGCCTGTAATCCCAGCACTTTGGGAGGCCGAGGTGGGCAGATCACAAGGTCAAGAGATAGAGACCATCCTGGCCATGATGAAACCCCGTCTCAACTAAAAATACAAAAATTAGCCAGGTGTGGTGGCACGCGCCTATAGTTCCAGCTACTTGGTAGGCTGAGGCGGAAGAATTTCTTGAACCCTGGAGGCGGAGATTGCAGTGAGCCGAGGTTGCCCCACTGCACTCCAGCCTGGTGACAGAGCAAGACTCTGTCTCAAAAAAACAAACAAATGAAAACAAAACAAAACAAAAAAAACATGAAATTTTAGCCAGGCGCGGTGGCTCAAGCCTGTAATCCCAGCACTTTGGGAGGCTGAGGCAGGTGGATCACGAGGTCAGGAGATCGAGACCATCCTGGTCAACACGGTGAAACCCCGTCTCTACTAAAAATACAAAAGATTAGCTGGGCATGGTGGCGCGTGCCTGTAATCCCAGCTACTCGGGAGGCTGAGGCAGGAGAATTGCCTGAACCCAGGAGGCGGAGGTTGCGGTGAGCCGAGATCGTGCCATTGCACTCCAGCCTGGGTAACAAGAGCGAAACTCCGTCTCTAAATAAATAAATAAATAAATAAATAAATAAAGTACTGTTTTACCCTTATTTAGAATGCTTCATTCTATTGACCCTTGCCACGAGTTTGTCAGTTCAAGGAATACAGTCATGTGACTAATAACTTAAAACGTGATGAGAAAGGCAAATTCATGTTAGTAGAGGTTCTTAGCGCATCTTGAAGTTATCACGCTGTAGTGGAAAAGGGCCATTCTTTGGATTTGGAAGGCCTGTCTCAGGCTTTGGCTGTGCTATTTAGCCTTGAGAAGGGAGCTGGGGCACATCCCTTATGGTCTCTGGATCGCGTTTCTTGGCTGTCATAAATGGACAATATTAACAAATTCGTCTTACAAGATTTTTATGAGCAGCAAATGAATAAATGCAATGAACATCCTTTGTAAGTATAAAGATACTCTGTAAGTGCTATTTTTAAAGAATAATTGGATTATCCATTTTATTACTAACTTACGAAGTAGATTAGATCAAAGTGTCATGAAATTCATATTTAACAGTGACATGAATGGCAAGAAGTTGAGTAAGGACATAGGTCACTGGAAAATGTGATACTTTTTTTTTCTTTTTGAGGTAGAGTCTAACTTTGTTGCCCAGGCTGGAGTGCAGTGGTGTGATATTGGCTCACTGCAGCCTCTGCCTCCCGGGTTCAAGCAACTCTCCTTTCTCAGCCTTCTGAGTAGCTGGGATTACAGGCTCCCGCCACCATGCCCAGCTAATTTTTGTATTTTTAGTAGAGCCAGAGTTTCACATGTTGGCTAGGCTGGTCTCGAACTCCCGACCTCAGGTGATCCACCTGCCTCAGCCTCCCAAAGTGCTGGGATTACAGGCATGAGCCACTGCACTGGGACAATGTGATACTTTTTTAGAAACATACAGGAAATTAATTTCCTTTGGCTTTGTTCTCTTGTCTTTCCCAGATAAATTTAGTCATTCTGTTAGAGCACAAGAGTAGGCTCTTTCACTTCAAGATCTCGTAATCAGTTCTAGCTAGTAGTCTGTTTACCCCAGGGTTGTATACGTATGAAGGAGTAAAATGTAGTGTTACTGGTGTTTTTTTCTTTTTTCCTTAACTAATTAAGCAAATATATCGATTAACTCAGTTTGAAACATATCCCTCAAGGTGACTGCAGTTTTCTTTTTTATCCACAGGAGATATCAAGACCCTTAGTAGATGCCTAAAACTGTGATATTACTGAACCCTTCTATATGCGTTTTTTGTTTTTTCTGTACATACATAACCTATGATAAAGTTTAATTTATAAATTGGGCCAGTAAGAGACTAACAACAATAACTAATTAGAAAAAGTACAGTTATAAAAATATACTGTCATGGAAATTATGTGAATTTGGGCTCTCTCTCAAAATATCTTAATGTTTTTAGACCACAGTTGACCATATAGCTAACTGAAATTGCTGAAAATGCAGATAAGGGGAGACTGCTGTGCTCATTTTATTTTTATGTCTAGGGTAAAAATCATGGTAAGAAACTCCGAAATTACTATGCAGCAAACAGCTGTCCTCCTCCTGCTAGAATGAGCAATGTGGTGGAGCCTGCAGTTGCCCCAGTTGTTCCAGCTCCTCCGCAGGTGAGACGCGTGTGTCAGGGTGGCGCGGCATTGGGGTGGAAGCTGTGGATGCACACACAGCTACAGGTGACATTTGTTGTCCATGTGTCCATCAGGGTACAGTTGGGAAAATCATCCTGAAAGATGATGCTTGGTGCTTTTAACTCCTTGAACTGTAGGGCTGGATGTAATGCAGGCCAAAATCTGTGAACCTTGAGATTTCTCATTGGCTCTGTTGACGACGTGTGAAGTGATGAGACAAACACTGTTACACGAGTCTTTATACATTTCTTAAAATTCTGGCTAAGTGTTCCTGAATGTCTAGGCTAATCCCGAAATGAAAAGACAGATTTTCAAACGTGTATTTCTTTATTGCAGTTAATCCCATTTATTTTAGATTTTGTCTTCCAGTTGCAAAATTAGTTGTTTTAGATTGCTCATTACTTACCTCTTGTATAAACATGTTCTGGATCTAGCTATTGTGAGACAGACTTGGAAGCCAAGTTCTTTTTGCTCTTTGGACAGTGGAACAGGTGATTTAGGCCTCTGAAATACGGAGTCTACTCCTTAATCTGTCTTTTAAGTGTCATTTGTCTGTAAAACAATGCAGTGGTCATAAATTATCAGGGCATAACTGAGTACACAGCGCGCCAGGCACGGTGCCAGGCACGCCTCATGCATTGTTGCGTTCGGGCTGGGACCACAGTGAGCTGACGGATGCAGTAAACTTGGGCATAAAATTTAAGAAGGAGCTAAATAATCCAGTAATCAAGATAGAAATTTAAGGTAATATTTTAGAAATGTAAAATTGATGTAAAATGGTGGTGAACAAAACATTGAAAACTTAAGTATTGCTGATTTTCCTTTTGCCTCAGCCTGCAATATGATTTGGCATGGCACTGCTACTGATTCTGAATGTAAATTTTTGGTATTTTTTTCATCATTAATTTTTTTGCATTAAATTTAATTTTTTTAGCTGGGTGTGGTGGCATGTGCCTGTAGTCTCAGCTACTTCGTAAGCTGAGGTACAAGAATCACTTGAACCCGGGAGGTGGTGATGGCAGTGAGCTAAGGTTGTGCCACGGCTTTCCAGCCTGGGTGACAGAGCAAGACTGTCTCAAAAAAAGGTTTTTTTTAATTAAATAAATATTTCATTAAAATATTATTTATCTTGATTTCTTAGTTTTTTTGATGTTCCATTAAATTCTGAGCCCAAGGCAAGGGTCTCACTCACTTCGTTCTAGTCCCAGGTCCTAACCTCATTTAATGCTTGCAACAACTTAGAGATATTGGCCTTATTACTCAAGTGGTATCCATGGGCCAGCAGTATTGGCTTTACTGGAAGTTTATTAGAAGCTCAGATGAACTAAGGAGCTTTCCATGGTGTTACATGTTTTGTAAAGGGGTAGAGCAAGAATTTCTTTTTTTTCCCTTTGGGGCAGAGTTTTGTTCTTGTTGCCCATGCTGGGGTGCAATGGCGTGATCTTAGCTCACTGCAACCTCCACCTCCTGGGTTCAAGTGATTCTCCTGCCTCAGCCTCCTGAACTGCTGGGATTACGGGCGCCCACCACCATGACCGGCTAATTTTTGTATTTTTAGTAGAGACAGGGTTTTGCCATGTTGTTCAGGCTGGTTTTGAACTCCTGACCTCAGGTGATCCACCCACCTCGGCCTCCCAAAGTGCTGGGATTACAGGCATGAGCCATTGCGCATGGCCCAAGAATATCTTTTGATCTTAGACCTTTGCTCCTAACCAGCTGGTATCATTTTACTTTTCTGAGTGTTAGTTTTTAGTACTTAAAAGTGTGGGTAGCAATTCTGGCTGTTCTTTCTTCTCATGGGTTTGTCGGTTAAACGAGATATATAAAACACGAAGTCAGAGAACAAGAAGATACCCAGAGAGATCTTCAAGCTGCATAGTTTTCCTGTCACTGGTTTCTGAAGACTGCTCTGGAATTGAATAGCTGCCCCCAGTGGGGGCCGTTTTCAGTGGGCTCCACCCTCCTGGGCAGGTAGCCTAAATCTTTCTTCACAGCATACCTCAGAAAAATCTTCCCTTCCAAGTGAAATGCTATTTTCTGCAGCTGTTCCTGATATATATATGGTTTCCAGAATCTTTATCGTGTATTATATCACTCTTCTCTGGCCAAAATCTAGTATGTCATTTTTTTTGTTAACGTAATATTTGTTGAGTGCCTGCTGTCTTCTGTTAGGTTCTCTTTCACATGTTATTCCTCAGCCTGAGTACAGGTGTCTGGATTTGCTACTCATTTTTAAGGTTTTCCTGATTATATCTGTAGCTAGTTTGTAGACTTTTTGAGGACAGGGACTCTTTTTAAAATATATATATGACTGTATATCCCTTCTGGACTAGACAGCAACCCTAATAAGCAGTCAACAGTCAGTGAATGCTTATCGGTGGATTCTGAGTAGACATTACTTTTTCTTGTAATGTGATTTTAGGTCTAACCTATTTACCCATTACTTACTGTCCTAAATCTAAGCTTTTCAAACTCTTTAAAAAAATTTCTTCGGTGGCAACAGCAACGAGCCGTTCACTAAGTTGGTACCTAAGTGATTATAATGCAAAACCAAGATTAAGTATCTTCCAACCTTTTTGTTTTCCTGCAACGAATTATTTTCTTTATGAAGCTTAATGCTTGTGGTCATGCCACATCCTCGGGTTGCTTTTCAGCTCTTAGAAAGACCTTTGAGGAGAAGAAGGAAGCTCCATATTTTTTTAACCTTGTTTCTTCTTGTCTTTGATGTCAGATGGGCTCCTTTAAGCCAGGAGGCCGAGTGATCCTGGCCACAGAGAATGATTACTGTAAGCTCTGCGATGCCTCCTTCAGTTCTCCGGCTGTGGCTCAGGCTCACTATCAAGGGAAGAATCATGCCAAGAGGCTGCGGTTGGCAGAAGCTCAGAGTAACTCATTCTCGTAGGTATTGTCATTTTCTCTGAGGCCAAAGTGTTACGTGAGATTGACTGTTTTAAAGAAAAAGAGTTGAAAGGAATTCTTGTTTAGAAGACTCACTCTTTTTAAACTTCTTTTCTCCAGGGAATCCTCAGAGCTGGGTCAACAGCGGGCCAGGAAAGAAGGGAATGAGTTTAAGGTGATGCCTAACAGGAGAAATACGTATACAGTGCAGAATAATTCAGGTATCCTGTCTCTTTCTACATCCCTGTGTATATGGTGCAGAATAATTTTTTTTTTTTTTTTTTTTTTTTTTTAATTGTGACGGAGTTTCGCTCTTGTTACCCAGGCTGGAGTGCAATGGCGCGATCTTGGCTCACCGCAACCTCCGCCTCCTGGGTTCAGGCAATTCTCCTACGTCAGCCTCCTGAGTAGCTGGGATTACAGGCACACGCCACCATGCCCAGCTAATTTTTAGTATTTTTAGTAGAGACGGGGTTTCACCATGTTGACCAGGATGGTCTCGATCTCTTGACCTCGTGATCCACCTGCCTCGGTCTCCCAAAGTGCTGGGATTACAGGCTTGAGCCACCGCGCCTGGCCGGTGCAGAATAATTTAGGTAATCCTGTCTGTTTCCACATCCCTGTGTATACGGTGCAGAATAATTCAGGTACCCTGTCTGTTTCCGCGTACCTGTGTATACAGTGCAGAATAATTCAGGTACCCTGTTTGTTTCCACGTACCTATGTGTACAGTGCAGAATAATTCAGGTACCCTGTCTGTTTCCACGTACCTGTGTATACAGTGCAGAATAATTCAGGTACCCTGTCTGTTTCCACGTACCTATGTATACAGTGCAGAATAATTCAGGTATCTTGTCTGTTTCCACGTACCTGTGTATACAGTGCAGAATAATTCAGGTACCCTGTCTGTTTCCGCGTACCTGCATATACAGTGCAGAAGAATTCAGGTATCCTGTCTGTATCCACATACCTATGTATACAGTGCAGAGTAATTCAGGTACCCTGTCTGTATCCATGTACCTGCGTGTACAGTGCAGAATAATTCAGGTACCCTGTTTGTATCCACGTACCTGTGTATACAGTGCAGAAGAATTCAGGTACCCTGTCTGTTTCCACGTACCTGCATGTACAGTGCAGAATAATTCAGGTACCCTGTCTGTATCCACGTACCTGTGTATACAGTGCAGAATAATTCAGATACCCTGTCTGTTTCCGAGTACCTGTGTATACAGTGCAGAATAATTCAGGTACCCTGTTTGTTTCCACGTACCTGTGTATACAGTGCAGAATAGTTCAGGTACCCTGTCTCTTTCCATATACTGTGGTGGCATTTTGCACATGGCCTCCTTTGTTTTTATTTCTTTTGATGATAATAGCCTGAGATTTTGGAGTTAATCAGTGCTTTATTGAATTAGTCTAGTTGCGGTTTTTCAGGCTGGTGTGTATTTCAGGTCTTATTTATTTACTTTTTTTTTTTTCTTTTTCTTTTTTTTTTGAGACAGAGTTTCGCTCTTGTTACCCAGGCTGGAGTGCAATGGTGCGATCTCGGCTCACCGCAACCTCCGCCTCCCAGGTTCAAGCAATTCTTCTGTCTCAGCCTCCTGAGTAGCTGGGATTACAGGCACGTGCCACCATGCCCAGCTAATTTTTTGTATTTTTAGTAGAGACGGGGTTTTACCATGTTGACCGGGATGGTCTCGATCTCTTGACCTCGTGATCCACCCGCCTCGGCCTCCCAAAGTGCTGGGATTACAGGCTTGCGCCACCGCGCCCGGCCTTATTTATTTACTTTAATTATTTACAATAATAAATATATTCTTTATTTTGGTTTTAAACCATAGTCTGTGTTTTAGGGTCGTTTATAATCCCTTTATATCTGTTTATATTTGTCAGCTGAGAAATGTAAAATGCAATACAAATGGGGCTACTTGGTTTAAAGTTGTACCATGTCTAAAAAAGATTCTAAAGCAGTGGTTTTTAACTAGGGCAGTGAAACAGTTACCCAAGGAGTTTTTACAAAGTGCCTGAGCCATGAGTTAGAGATTTTCAGTGAGTAAATTTGGAGCGGGACCCAGAGATATGTGTTTTGAAAATGCTTGTTTGGTGCTTCTGATACACACATTCAGTTCACAAGCACTGGTTTATAGGAATGAGTTCTGCATTTTCCGATTGTCTGAGTGTTCTCAGTAGCGAGGTGGGCTGAGTAGTTCCTCATCCTCCCTCTACCTTAGCCTCTGATGTGCGCATGTGCCAGCAGAGGCCATCCTCCCTCTACCTCAGCCTCTGATGTGTGCATGTGCCAGCAGAGGTCATTCTCCCTCTACCTCAGCCTCTAATATGTGCATGTGCCAGCAGAGACCGTTTACTTGAACAGTGAAACAAACAGAAAGCAGAGCTGACTGAGAAGCCAGAGAAGTCCATTGAAAAGAGGACACAGAGAAAGCACATTCAGGCTGGGTGCTGGTGGCTCATACCTGTAATGCCAGCACTTTGGGAGGCTGAGGTGTGTGGATCACCTGAGGTCAGGACCCCATCTCTACTAAAAATAACAAAAATTAGCTGGGCATGGTGGTGGGCACCTGTAGTCCCAGCTACTCAGGAGGCTGAGGCAAGAGAATCACTTGAAGCTGGGAGGTGGAGGTTGCAGTGAGCTGAGATTGTGCCACTGCACTCCAGCCTGGGTGACGGAGCAAGACTCTGTCTCAAAAAAACCAAAAAAACAAACACCATTCATTGTGATTAATAAAAGTCTAAACATGTATTAGTAATGATAAATGTACAGTTGCCAAAGTCCACAAATATTAAGTTGGATAAAAGAAATTAATCTGAAATGAAGGAAGCTGGGTTAGCTGTATTAATATCAGAAAAATAAATTTTAGGATAGATGATCTTCTCTGATGAGTACAATGAAATGAGATGTCAACAAAAATAGAAAAGCAAAATTTCTGTTTGGGAATTTAAAAACACCTCTAAATAACTCATGGTTTAAAGAAATAATTACACTGGAAATTAAAAATTCTTAGAATGAAACAGTAATGAAAATATATTAACACTTGTAGGATGCAGTGAAAGCCGTGTTTTGAGAAAAGCATTACATGTATGTTATTACAATAGACGTGAAAAGCAGAAAGTGAATGAATTAAGGGTCCAGCTTATGAAGTCAGTAATGTAAAAAGAGGAAAATGAAATGATCTGTAATGTCACCAACACTTTTGCAGATTTCATTCTAATCTCTTCATATATATTACTTCTTTAAAGTAGAAATGGGATTCTAGTTTGGGATCTTCTTAGTTTACTTAATAACATGAGAGTTTTCTGTAGCATTACTGTATTTGGCAACTACATAGTTTTCCATTGCATTCATTACCATATTTTCTTTAATCCTATTTTTGAATCTCTCCTTCCCCCTAAATTTTTTTTTTTTTTTTTTTTTTTTTTTTTTTTTTTTGAGACAGAGTTTTACTCTTGTTACCCAGACTGGAGTGCAATGGCGCGATCTCTGCTCACCGCAACCTCCGCCTCCCGGGTTCAAGCAATTCTCCTGCCTTAGCCTCCTGAGTAGCTGGGACTACAGGCACGTGCCACCATGCCCAGCTAATTTTTTGTATTTTTAGTAGAGACAGGTTTCACCATGTTGACCAGGATGGTCTCGATCTCTCGACCTCGTGATCCACCCGCCTCGGCCTCCCAAAGTGCTGGGATTACAGGCTTGAGCCACCGCGCCTGGCCAATTTTTGGTTTTATAATCACTGCTGAGATAAACATATTACTGGTAAATCTCTGTGTGAAAATTCTCAGTATTTTCTTAGGATAATTCTCACAAGTGGAATTTCTGGATTAAAGGGTTAGCAGAAGTATGAGACTTCTGACATAATGCTTGGAAATTAAAGTATTTTTAAAAGTGTATTCACTTTTTTTAGAGACACAGCCACTTGGAATTTGGGTTTGGCTCTATAGCAATTTTTCTGACAGTAGTTGGAGGAACTATCTTTTTAGATTGAACCTGTATAAAATTGTAATTTTAAACATCCATTAACTTTGCTTTCACTTAAAGCTAAGAACCTGCGAATTTTATAATTTGAGCTTAGAATTTTAAATTAGAGTGATAATTGGTCAGGCTGTCATTCACTTAATAAATGTTTTGAATATATTATTTCTGTCTCTTGCTTTAGCAGGTCCTTACTTCAATCCTCGCTCTCGGCAGAGAATTCCACGTGATCTGGCCATGTGTGTTACTCCAAGTGGCCAGTTTTACTGCTCAATGTGTAATGTTGGGGCTGGCGAAGAGATTGAATTCCGGCAGCACTTAGAGAGCAAGCAACATAAGAGCAAGGTGTCTGAACAGCGGTACCGGAGTGAGATGGAGCATCTGGGATATGTGTAGTGATTCTCATGCTACGATAGAGCAGCTTACCCTGCCTGTTGTTTGCCTTTTGTCAACTTGCCCTGCTTTGTGGTCCTGTTGATATGAGTGCATTCCTCTGCTTAACGTTAATACATGTAACCCACAGTGGTACCATGAGATGTCAAAACCTGAGGGCCCAGGGGCGGGGTGGGGAGGCAGGTGTGGCGAACGTGCTTCTTAGGTCATAACGCTTTTGCAGGGTCCGTTGTGTTGAGCTGCTCGTAGCATGTGACCTACCTGCCCCAGCAGAAATAACTTTTTATCTTGCCCAAGTTCTGGTCAACTTTGGCTGTTTAAAAGTATCATTTTCTTTTGCAATTTTAGTTTTATGTGCTATTAAAGAATTGTATTGAATTCTTTTTAGATCAAAGTAAAAATAGGTCAGCAGAGATTTCAGTTTCCGAGGGTTTAACCAGAACCACCACCTCATTGCATTGTCAGTAGGATACATTGTTAGAAACTGTTAAGGTCTTTCCAGGGACATTTTTTTCCTGCAATTTTCTTTTGCAGTTTTAGTTTTATGTACTGTTAAGGAATTGCATTGACTTCTTTTTAGATCACAGTAAAAATAGGATGGCAGAGATTTCAGTTTCCCAGGGAGTAACCAGAGCCACCACCTCAAAGCCTTGTCAGTAGCATATATTGTTAGAAACTGTTAGGGTCTTTCCCAGGACATGCTTTTTTCTATCTCAGTTCTCCCCATCATTGAAAAGTAAGTTTTCTTGAATTCAAATACTCCCAATGAGCTTGTGTAATTCCAGACAGCTAAACTTGATTTCCAGTTGTGAATTTCACACATTTAATTACTGCCTTCTTCCCACCTCTCTTCCCCGCCCCGCTCCTCCGCCATCGCCCCCCGCCCCGCCCCGACCCGTTGAATCAGCTTGTCGAACAAGCTCATTTTCATGCCCCAGCTGTGCTGTGAGTTTTCCAAGCCTCATATTTGAATATTTCTTGAGTTTAAGATAGATATGATTTTTAAAAATTTATTTTCCAGCAGAGTTAGGGAAATAAAGGTATGTTTGATTTTTCAATTTAGAGTTACTTCTTCATTGATAATAACATGCACTTATATCATGATTTAAACCATCAATTTGGATTGCTTGACATTTTGTTTTGCCAGACTTTTTTGGTAGTTTGATTATTACACTTATATTTTACTCTGTCTTGCCAGTTTGTTGGCCATTCTGAAAAATGTCACTACCTGCTGTTTTATACACAGAGAGGAACTTTTTAAAAAGCAAATAAAATGTCACTATGTTTGTTTCCAGTAGAAAAATACATGAACTATGGTTTTATTCTTTGTAATTTGGCTTTCTTGAAGATAATGAAAAGTATACAATAGATCACTTTGGCATCTGATAATTATATTAATATTGTTATTTTTGTTTTTTTGCTTTTAAAATAAGAAGTTGTAGTATATATCTAGATTAATGGAGTGCTCTGTGAATATTTATTAACTACATCTTATCTATTTACTGTATTTTACATGCATAAGGCCAGTGGCTATCCATATTACTTTTGAAAGGCCACTTGATCTGGAAGTTTATATTTTAAGCAGTATCTTTGAACAATGGTCAATTCACATTTGATTGCTTATATTACTAATTAGAGATAAAACTTCCATCTTTTCTTGAGAATACTGTAGGCAAATAGATGCAGGAAGGCAAATTACAATCATTCTTTTTCTGTAATATTTTGGGACAACTTTTAAACAACTCAGACGCATGTTTAAAAATGAGTTTTCTGTGACTAACCCTTTCTATACTATCCAGTTACTGTCTTCCGTTGAAGTGGTGGTTCTTTGAAAAGTAACATTATTTTGTAACATTTTTTCTCCCAGAAACAGAAGAATCAAGTATTATTCTGTTAGGATTCTATCTTGACCTGTGACTCTTAATATAATAACCACCCCACTCCCTCTTTTTTGCAGTAATCTATAAGTAGAGTTGCTTAGTTTTGAGCAATTTAGGGCTTTTCTTATTGGCCAATAGGTTACTCATTTTGCTGCTAAGTATAATTTTTTTTGGTCAATTTTAATATTATAGTGCTGGCCACTTGGTTCTGTGATTACCTAAAAATGTAGTTTTTTTTTTCCCTCTGTAGGTATGTATGTGTATGCACACCCCCATACACATGATGCCATAGAAAGGTATATCAACCCTTATATCAAATAACAGTAGAAGATACAAATATGAATTTATGTTTTGTAAAAATGGCATTCATCCACTTTGTTTTCCTTTGGAAAAAAGTTTTAAAAGAAGGATTGCCCTTGCTCTCTCCACTTAACGTTTCATTATATACATAGAACAAGCAGTGGACTTAAGGGCTTGATGTTCAGGCCTTGTGTATTCAGGTTTCCAGTTTCCCAGTGCCCTTAATGGATGTTACGAATGCATAAACGCATTTTGTTTTAAAGAAAGAAGTTAGATTTATAGTGTTATTTCTTACTTGCTATATTTCTTTGCACTAAAAAAGAGCTATGTGTTTGTTTTATATGACACTTTAGTACCGTATTGCCTACAATAACTCAGTTTGCTCCTTAATTTTCAAACTCTGGGAAGTTGATGAGTAACTTCCATGATCACTTGTAAAAGTTACATGCACATCTGAAAAACAATCACAAATCTCTGTGACAGTTGGTTGTGTTTTGGGCTTGTTACCTTGCAATATTCTTCTCTGTTCCATAGGTGAAAACAAAGGGTGACAGAGTTTATCAGGCAAGAAATGCCTATCTGTGCATGGAGCAGTTTCTCATGTCCATGTGTTCTGTAGACAGTGTTTTTCTGTCTAAGCAGACCGTTTCTTCTGAGTACACGATACGTGATCTTCGGTGTGTCACTTTGTGATGTTCAGTCCTGCTCTGTAACATACTTTAGGATTTGCACCTTGTACTCCCCAGGAATTATGTTGGAGTCTTTTTCTATGCAGTCTTCAAGGATGGACAGAGGCCTAAATAACAACAACAAAAAATTAGTAAAAAGAAAAAAACCTTGGATTTCAGTAATCATCCATAAGAACTCATAGCATCAGTCTCTTTTCTCTGTGGATAATGTCTTTATGTAAGTTGTCAATAAAAAAATCAATGTTAGAAGGTGACAATTAGAATTCTCCTTAGGTATCGAGGGTAAGAAGTTATAAAGAAAATTAGTGTTTCAATTAAATGATTGGATTGCATATATCTTTGAAGTGGTTTTGTTCAAAAAAAAAAAAAAAAAGTTTGGTTACCAAACTGAGTGTGCCCTGTAATCCTTCTGCGTCCCCTGAAGATACTTTGAAAATCTTTTGTTGGTGGTGACTTTGCACATCATGTCCTGCAGCTTGTAAATACGTGCATGTGGTTTATGTTTGTCTGCCTGTCTCTTACTGCACTGCATTCTGCAAGGTGAGTAATTGTTAAAAATACCATTTATTTTGAAAAAGTTTCTCCTCCAACTCTTCCTCATGATTCCCGTTTTAATTAGTTGGTAAACTTAGAAAACCATTAGGATTTTTGAAGCCCTAAGTTTAAAAGAAGAATCATGGCTATTTGACATCATCCTTAACGCCCCCCTGACTTTAAAAGCTAACAAGAAGCATGAGATCTTCCACCTCATTTTAGAAAACTCTTCTACAGAACTATATGCTTGCTTATAGTTACCTACCTACAGTTCGAACAGCGAGAAAGGGAGAGATACATGTCTGGTTACATCTTCCTTAACTCCTAAATCGGCTGGGATGCAAGCAACAGCAGTGTGAGGTCCAGTGACTTACGTAAAGTGAGCCTGCAGAACTTGGTGAGGTGTATACTAGGACAATAGAGCTGCTTTAGAAATAAATTGAGACATGTTTTGTTAGGATAGATGAAAGTTACATGCAGGTTTTTGAACAGACGTTTTTAAAAAATTCAACCTTACCAACTGTTTTTTTCTTCTAGCCAAATCATTGTACGGGAGTTTCATATATAATAAAAAGTATTTTGTTATTGTTTTTGCTTTCTTGGCAGGGGAGAACCCCTACCATTGTGAGCTGTTACTGTCAATCTAGCTGAATGGACAAATAGCTGTGTAAATAGCTTCTCATAAAACATTTCTTCTGATAGCTGTTTGACATTTTCTCCCCATTATGAATGGGAGGAACATTTGTAAACTTCCTTTCTGGGTAGCTACCAAAAAACGTACTGGCTTATGGTCCCATGTGACCCTGTCTCCATTAAGCCCAGAATCTGAGTGCCTTTAGCAAGTGTTAGCATTTCACAGAGAGAAGAGATGACAGAATTATTGCTATTAATCACCATTCATAAATAGGAACTTGGAATAACAATGGTCTGTGTGAATTCTGTTCTACATCTTTTTTTTTTCCTTTCTTAATGCGATCTCAATTTGATATCAAGTAAAACTATTGTCATGATTGATCAGGAACCATACATCCTGAAAATGAATTCATTGTCCCAAGCTGGCAGCACTCATAGATCAATTTTCACCTTGATTTGTGTGGTATTTGTACTTAGTAAGTGGCAACGTGTCGACTGGAAGAGCTTGACACAGATGTTTGGAAACATTCTTTATTATAGTGGTCATTTTCAAACTTGTCTTTCCTGTGGAGAGGGGAAATATGTATTTGCAACTAAAGTATTTGAAGAGACTGGCACAATAATTAATTGTATTAGTTCATTTCCATATTAAAGGAAGCATCTTCACAAATCAGGTTTTAAGACATTAAAGCAAAATTTTCCCTAGTTTAATAAATTTAAAATTATAAGTTGCTTGAGTACTTAGAATCTTTGAAATACACTGTTAGACTAATTTTATTATAGAAATGCTAATATGTTCCTCAACATTTTCGCAAGAAATTTTCAGACATATATCAAAGTTGAAAAAACTTTATACAATATAACCCCTGCTAGATTCTGTCATCAGCATTTGGCTATGCTTGTATTGCCACGTAACTGTTCGTTTCTCCATCCCTCTTCGTCAATCGGTCCATCAGGTTTTTTTTTTTTTTTTTGAAACATTCCAAAGTAAATTTTAGGCAGCACACTGCCCTAAATTCTTAGCATGGGTGTCGTTAAAGTTTACTATCCATTTAAATATCTTTTTTGGAAGCGATATATGAAGTCGATAACCTGAGCCAATTTACATAGTTTTTTTTTTCTCTTTTTTTATTTTTTTATTTTTATTCCCTCCTGTGGACTTTTGTCTTCCAGTTTCTCTTGTGTGCTTAGGGTGAGGGAGGACAATTCCTTTCAAACACAAGTTTATTTTAGAATTGGTCTTTTTTTTTTTTTTTTTTTGAGACAGAGTTTCGCTCTTGTTACCCAGGCTGGAGTGCAATGGCGAGATCTCGGCTCACCGCAACCTCCGCCTCCTGGGTTCAGGCAATTCTCCTGCCTCAGCCTCTCGAGTAGCTGGGACTACAGGCATGCACCACCACATCCACCTAATTTTGTGTGTGTGTATTTTTACTAGAGACGGGGTTTCACCGTGTTGACCAGGATGGTCTCGATCTCTTGACCTCATGATCCACCCGCCTCGGCCTCTGAAAGTGCTGGGATTACAGGCTTGAGCCAGAATTGGTCATTTTTAAATGCTTGTCACAAATTTTAAAGTTTCAAGATAATTTTTCTTTTCCCCACTTCCGATGATGTATTTTTGCCAAACTGCAACTTCTTCAGAAAACTATCAATTACAGATTGGGGTTTATGAAATTAGCAAATACCTCGTTTCAATCCGTGGCTGCTTTTCTCCCTCTTGTCACTTCTCCCTCCAGACTCTGCTGCTCAGCCAAAAGGTGGAGGGGAGAAAAGGCTCAAGCCCCTGTAATTAGCTGATTTAAACAACTCTAGGAGAACAGATTAAGTAGCTTAGTAAGTTGAAACTATTTATTTTTCTGAAGGATTTGATTTGAATTCCCTGAGAATTGTAATTATCCATGCTTCCTCCAGCTTTAATTAGCAGAATTAAAAATCATTGTACTGTACAATGAGTTGTTGAGACTGTAAGCCTTAGTAACCAACTTTAGCTTTACTGTAGTCCTATTTTGAATTTTTTTTTGACATATGCCTTTGTGTTTATGCCCACTTTTTGTAGATAAAATCTAAAGAATTTAAGTGACTTGCTCCAGGTCATGAAGATTCAATGGGTAGAATTGAATCAGAATTGGAATGTTCCAGATTCATGTTCTTGTATGTGTTTGATAAAATTCATGGCTTCCAAAGTAACTGAACACTTTCTTTGGGCCCTTGGAGGGAAAAATACATATTTTTACTAATTAAACTTTTATTTTTGGACATTTTGCGATTCTTTGAACTTAAAGATATTCTCATGGCTATAGTTCCAAATTAAGCCCAATGCCATTGCTAAAAATCTTGCTGCACTGTTGAATACTAATAACGCAGCGTTTATCAGATTTTCTTGCATTTTGGTGACCTTCATGATTCACTTATATGTCTTTGTAAGTGCTGAATTGACCCTCTCACTAGTGAACATAATAAATGTTCTATATCATTTATTATTATTTGCGTATTCTCTACATGATATATATTTTTAAGGAAAAGTAACTCCACATGTCAGAACGATATCCTAGGGCAAAATGCATATAAAGCAGAGTTTATTTCTACACTGCAAATATGGCATGTACAGAAACAAAACTCTTTTGGAGTGGCTGGTCATTGTTTTGGCCTCTTTTGGTACCTGAGTACCTTTCTGGGGTTTTGTAAATCGTGTGTCATTTGTAAGAATTTCATGCTAACTCTGTGTTACTTGGTGTTTACCTGTGGTACCCTTGACTGACCATAATGATTTAGTTTGGGTATGATGTGTCTGCTTTGAGATGCCTTAATGGAGTACGTCAGATCCTGCTTTAAAGCATTCCATATATCTGCTGGGACGATAAGGTGCCTCTCCTTGGATATATGCTCTAGATTAAGAAGCAAAACTATTTTGCTTTCACCGTTAAAGTTGCATTTTAATGCAGTCATTGTTTTAAATTAGAGAATAAAATGTAAACCAAGGGAGACTTAGAACCCTTCACTTAATGGCATGGCAAACTTTAAACTGCTTTTGCTATTTCACTAGAACTATCTTTGGTAAAGGATATAGCTAAGAAATGTCAGCCCAAACTGTATGTAATTAAGAGTTGTTTATTAAAATTTTCTCTAAATGTCGTACAGGGGCTTAAGATCCGTGTATGCTGTTGGGTCAGAGTGCCAGTCACTGCTTTGGAAATCTGTGTTCTGGGGCTACAGAATGGCAAATGTGTCATGGGATTAAAACCAATCAACTGTGAATCGTGAAATTGAAATTGCTGTTTTGGTTTGATTTTCTTTAGCATATTGAGTATAGAAATCTGAAACTTATTTAAAATTTATACTGCTTTTGTTGATGGCTCATTTTGGCTGTGTATCCTCACTTATGTACTGATTTCTGATAAAGGCTTGACATTATAACAGGCATTTTGTGTTCCAATTTAATAAAACGGTTTCTGAGTCTTGTCTGAAAATTGTTTGGTTATGAATTGAAGATCAAGGGAAGATGGTAAATTGTCAACACTGAGATGTTATTCTGATGCTGATTCTCGATGACTAGTTCCCCATTCATAAGTCTGCACACTGTCTGCCATGGTCTTCTGGAAATCATGCGAAAGCTTTTAGGGTGGCAGTAGAATCAACCTAGCTTCCCACAGTGCCCATTCTCCCCATCACTGGAGTTAGCCTGAGACTGGAGTGAGTTCTCAATTTTATTGATAGATATTAATGTTTATTTTCCCTTTGAATTTTAAGAAAGTTGGCCTTAGTACCATAAACGCTGCTAGAAATAAGCACATTATTAAAAAGCAGCTACCCATTAATCTTAAATATAATCAATTTATATTTGCAGTATAATGGAGATGTAGCCCTTTAAGCAGCCTGGTTTTCTGTATACAGTGTACTTTTGAATTTCAGTGCTCATTTAAAAAAGTAGATTATAGGCTGTAAGATGCTGTTATGCTTCAATTAATCAGGATGCAAGACACATAACCTTATTGTTGTGGGAAAAATTCCTGGGTCTGCACAGAAAAAAAGTTTCTGAATGAAATGAATAGATCGCATCGAATTTGTGTGTTGTAAAGTACTCAAGGCATGTGTACATGTTATTAAATCATCTCCAGGATATTTGTAGCTTTAAAAAAGCCAGGATAATATGCACCAAAAAAGTCTTAAATGACTTCAGATTTTCAGCCTTTTTAAAAGGCATTTCTGAGGCTTATTCATTGGCTGAAAATCTGTAAAAGATCAAATGCTGGGTGTTATCCTTTATAATTGCTTGTATTTAAAAGGCTAGTGATGAACTTTCCCAGTCTGACAAATTGATGTGAGATTATAAAGATCAAAGGCCGGGCGCGGTGGCTCACGCCTGTAATCCCAGCACTTTGGGAGGCCGAGGCGGGTGGATCACGAGGCCAAGAGATTGAGACCATCCTGGTCAACATGGTGAAACCCTGTCTCTACTAAAAATACAAAAAATTAGCTGGGCATGGTGGTGAGTGCCTGTAATCACAGCTACTCAGGAGGCTGAGGCAGGAGAATTGCCTGAACCCAGGAGGCAGAGGTTGCGGTGAGCCGAGATCGCGCCATTGCACTCCAACCTGGGTAACGAGCAAAACTCAGTCTCAAAAAAAAAAAAAAAAAAAAAAATTATAAAGATCAGAAATAGATCTTTTTGTGATGAGTTTAAAGATTTTTATTATCTGAGTTGAGGCTTAAACCACCAAGTTTTGTTCTTAATTGTGGAATCTTCATAACTTGAAAATTAAGAATTATAAAAAGGGAGGGGGGACAGGAAAAACAATTACAAAAAGAAGACAGTTAACTTGTGTGATGTGAATATTATTTTGAATAGATGCGATTATGAGTTCCTGCCCCCCCAAAAAAAACAAAAAAAAAAACCCTAAGAATAGATTTCATGGTTTGTATGTTCAAGTCTGTGAGTATATATATGTACATATATTTGAGGGGAATGTGTACTGGGAGGGAGTTTATGGAAATGTGTTTAAGATGATCAAATACTAGTAATGAAGTGTGTCCAAAGGAACAGATGTAAATTTGCCACTGGAGGAAATAGACTCCACCATAGGCCATCCATAACTTACGCTGGGCATTTCGGATGAATCTTTATGTAATTAAAGCTTTAGATGCGTTGGCTGGCACTTGTTCTTCTGGACAGAAATAAGAAGTCTTTCATATTAGCTTCAATGTGTCCTCTTTGCTGATGCCAGAGGCTCCTCTCTAACCCTGTTTTCCAGAAGTCCTTGCTAGGTGATGGATTTTGACCAGAGCTATCTAGTGCCACCTCGTGGGCTCTGTAGGTCTTACAGTTAGCAGTTGGTGGTGGTGAACTACAAAGCGAGATGCTTGGCTG